CCCTGCAGCCCCTAGCCTAGAACTCACTATGTAGACCAGGCAGGCCTTGATTTCACAGGTCTGTCTGCCTCTGCCTCCCAAGTGCTGGGATTAAAGGCATGTACGACCATACTTGGAGCACTCTCCTTAATATTTTTTTTTGACAGATTCTCCCTGTAGCCCCAGCTGGCCTGGACTGTAGACCAGACTGGCCTCAATCTCACAGAGATTCCCCTGCATCTGCCTCTCAAGTGCTAGAATTAAAGGCGTGCAACCACTACAATCAGCTAATATTTTTTAAATTTATTTTTGAGGATTTTAAACAATATATATTAATCATATCTACCCCACCTTCTTCCCTTAACTCCCTAGATCCATTCCCACCTCCCTACCTTACCCCCCAAAGTTTTGTCCATTTTGTTTGTTTGTTGTTTGTTTTTAGAAACAAGGTCTCCCAGTAGCCTGGAACTTACTGTATAGACCAGGCTGGTCTCAAACTCACAGAGTTCTATCTGCTTCTGCCTCCTGAGTGCTGGGATTAAAATTTATTTTATGTGTATGAGTGTTTTGCCTGCATCTAAGTGCATCATGTGTGTAGTACCCACAGAGGCTGGAAGAGGGTGTCAGATCCTGTGGAACTGGAGTTATAGATGGTTAGCTGAAATGCGGGTTACCGAGAACCTAACCCAGGTCCTACCTGGGTCCTCCATAAAAGCAGCAGCCAGTGATCTTAACCACTGAGCCATCTTTCCAGCCCTGTGTTTTCTTTTTCTTTTCTTTTCTTTTCTTTTTTAGTCTTTTGAAACAGGGTCTCGCTGTAGCCCCAGCTGGCCTGGAATTCACTATATAGACCAGGCTGGCTTTGAACTCACAGAGATCCTCCTGCCTCTGCCTCCCAAGTGCTGGAACTACAGGTGTGCACTACCACGCCCAGTTGCCCTGTGTCTTCTTAAAAAAAAAAAAAAAAAAACCTTTCAAAAAAAAAAAAACCCATTGGTGGCGCACACCTATACTCCCAGCACTTGGGAGGCAGAGGCAGGTGGATCTCTGTGAGTTCAAGGCCAGCCTTATCTACATAGTGAGTTCCATGCCAGCTGGTGCTATAGGGAGACGCTGTCTCAAAAAAACGAAAAAAAATAAATTAAATAAAATAAATTAAAAACCCATTGACTCCAATTTATGCTGTCCACATAGGGCCTTAAACTTGATTCTCATGTTAGTTTCTGCATCTCATCTATTATGATACATTGTTTGGATTGAAGTACATGAAGAAAAGCTGAGCTTACATCCACATGAAACTAGAGAAAGGTATGAATAAGAAAACTAATAAGGTCTTGGGGGCTGGAGAGATGCTCAGTGTTCGTTAAGAGTACTTGCTGCTCTTGCAGAGGACCCATGTTTGGTTCCCAGCATCTACATGACAGCTAACAACTGTCTATAACTCCAGTTCTAGGGGATCGGACGCCCTCTCTGGCCTCTGTGGGCATGAGATACGTACATACATGTAGGCAAAACACTCATACACATAAAATTTAATTTTTTTTTTTTTTTGGTCTTTTTGAGACAGGGTCTGCCTGAACCCCAACTGGCCTGGAACTCTCTATGTAGACCAGGCTGGCCTTGAACTCACAGAGATCCACTTGCCTCTGCCTCCCAAATGCTGGGATTAAAGGCATGTGCCAGCCACTACACTTGTAAAAATTAAAATAAATCTTAAGAAAAAAAAAAAAAAGAGCTGGGTGTGGTGGCACTGGGACTCGAACCCAGATCCTCTGCAAGAACAGCCACTGCTCTTAACACCTGGGCCATCTCTCCAGCCCCTCTTTTTGTTTTATTTGTATGAGTGTATTGCCTGAATGTAGGTAGGTGCACCAGTGTTGGGCAATGCCCAAGGAAGTCAGAAGGCGGTGTTTGATTCCTTGGGAACTGGAGTTACAGACAGTTGTTAGCCACCCTGTGGTTGCTGGGACTCAAATCTGGGTCCTCTGCAAGAGCAGCAAGTACTCCTAACCACTGAGTCATCTCTCCAGCCCCAAATATCAACTTTGTTTTAAAAAATATTTATTATTTTTATTTTTTATGTGTATGAGTGTATTGCCTGCATATATGTAAGTGCACTTGTGTTGCACAATGAGTCGGATCCCCTGGAACTGGAGTTTCAGATGGTTGTTAGCTGCCATGTGGGTGCTACGAATCAAATCTGGGTCCTCTGCAAAAGCAGCCAGTGCTCTCAACCACTGAGCCATCTCTCCAGCCCCCAAATATCACCTTCTTAATGAAACCTCAGACATCCATTTGAGAACAACACCTGAAAGAGCTGGCTTCACTTTTATCAAAGTATTTAAATTATTTGTATGTATTTACATTTTCTTTCTCCAGGAAAATATCTCAGAAAAGCTTAAGGGAATTACCACTGCTAAGTCCGTAAGAGGTTGATCAAACAAGAAAGTACTTAAATATTTGTTGAACTCGGGGTGGCGACCCATGCTAAAATCCCATTACTTGAGAGGCTTAGGCAAGACTCTGAGTTATGGGCCAGTTTGGGCTACATATCAGACCTCATCTCTTGGGGCTGGAGAGAGATGGCTCAGGAGTTAAGAGCACTGGCCTCTGTTGCAGAAGACCCAGATTCAATTCCCAGCATCCACATGGCAGCTAATACCTGTCCTAGGACCAGTTCCAGGGAATCTGATGCCCTTTTCTGACTTCCAAGGGCCTTGTACCATATGCACTTATATACATGCAAGCAATATACTCATACACATAAAATAAGAAAAAAATTTTTTTCTTATTTTTAAAAAAAGAAGAGCTGGGGTAGTAGCACACACATCTTTAATCCCAGCACTCAGAAGGCTGAGGCAGGCAGACCTCTGTGAGATGGAGGCTAGCCTGATCTCCATAATGAGTTCCAGGCCAGCTGGGACTACAGGGAGACCCTGTCTCAAAAGGACAAAAAATATGGGACTGGAGAGATTGCTCAGCAGTTAATAGCATTGGCTACTTTTGCAGAGGACCCAGGTTTGGTTCCTAATACCCACACAGCAGCTAACAACTGTCTGTAACTCCAGTTCTAGGAGATCCAATGCCCCCTTCTGACCTCTCTGGGCACTGCATGACATGGGTGTACTTACACTCATACACATAGAATAAAAATAATAAAATGAACAAGAAAAATCCTTCCTTTTTGTTTTATAGGCTAGTTCATTAGGAAAGAAGACAGGTTCCTAACATCTCAGCATACTTGTTTTATAAATGACAGGTTCTACATCAAGCCTAGACCTACAGATGACCCCTAATCCTTATATGAGCCATATGACTATACATCCCTTACATAGTCTTCCCTTTAACTTTTCATAAAATTGTCACCTAAGTTCAAATCAATTGATTTAAATGATACTGAATTTAGTTTCCTTGCCAAGGTTGTGGCAGACATGTTAACAAAGAGAAGAATGACTCACATATAAGTAAAGGTAGGGGAAAGTAAAAGAGAAAAAAAATCCATCTATCAGAAGCCAGCTATGGATGAGGAACGGTTTTCCCACTGGAAGCTTGACACTCTAATGTGTACTAAGCTGGGGTGGTATCCCATACCTGTGATTCTAGCACTTGAAAGGTGGAGGCAGAAGAATCAGCACTTCAAGACCAGCCTTGGCTACCTGAATCTCTGTCTCAAACTGCAAGGAAGAGACCAGGTATGGTACACTCCTTTAATCTCAGCACTTGGGAGGAAGAGGCAAGTGGATCACTGTGAGTCCCAGGCCAGCCTGGTCTACATAGTGAGTCCCAGGCCAGCCAGCCATGGCTACATAATAAGAACTTGTCTCAAAAACAAAAGAGAAACCAAGGAAGGAAATAACTAGCTTTATACTATAATGAACAGGTAAACAAGTGGGCAAACACAAAACACAAACACCTTCATGGTTCCTTCAACTTAAGATATTATAAGAAAATTTTAAGAGGTAATAAAAATATCTAAGTAACTGACTGACCAAGGCTACCTTTTATGCTAGTGCAGGAGCTAGTCCACCTAGAAATGGGATATTACCTTTGGTATATCTCCTTTAATACCTGGGGGCAGTCGCAGGATCCAGAAGTTCCTGTTTCTCAACAAGTTCTCCAGGTTCTCCAGCCGCTGCTGCAGCAGCCCATACTCCTGCAGCAGGGTCCCCAGAACAGCCCACTTGCCATCCAGCTGGTTCCCAAGTTCAGTCACTGTCTTTTCACAGCTGGCTAGTTTCTTCTCTGCTGTCCCTGTTCTGCCTTCTAGGTGTAGGAGTCGCCGGCTATGAACGTCCACTTTCCTTTCTATGGCCTGCACAGCAGCCACCACTGTCCACAGGGAGATGGCTGCAGTCTGCAGATGTGCTTCATTTGCAGCTGGAGGCGTAGGCAGAGGAAGAGGCTGCAAGGATGTAAGGCACTCAGAGTCCCATTCAGAAGTCTATGTGCAATGGAGAGATGGGACAAGGCATTGTTAGAAGGAATTCTGGCTCCATACCACAACCAGATAAGAACTGCTTAGCTATAATTAACCACAATAGTTTTAATGACTTTACAGTGCCTCCTTGTTGTTCTGAAGTTTGTTGGCATCAAAAGCCAAGGGAACTGTTTTGATGGTTCAAGGATGGATTTGGAAAGATAGTGAATAAATTGTCTTTTTAAGACCAGTCTGACCCACTTTCTCTACTATAAGGCCTAGAAGTCCAGGTTGCTGCTGTCTCCTCTATCTCTGGAAAAGGTAAAAGCTCATAGGTTTTGCTGACACAGTGCCCTCTGACAAATCCCTTATAAATTTATACTCTAGCCTTATCACTCAGTTTATTTACTACAACTATACTGACTAGTAACAACTGAACAAGCTGAGGATACTGAGTCTAGAGAAAACATGAGAGCTCTTTTCAATATTTGAGGGTTATAAAATAGAAGCTAGAGCTGGACATGGTGGCGCATGCCTTTAGTCCCAGCACTGGGGAGACAGAGGCAGGTGGATCTCTGTGAGTGCAAGGCCAGCCTGGTCTACATAGTGAGTCCCAGGCCAGCTGGGGCTACAGGGAGACCCTGCCTCAAAAAGACCAAAAACAACTCCCAAAACTAAACACACACACACACACACACACACACACAATAAAATAGTAGAACAGGTTAACCTTTTTATTTTATGTGTATGAGTGTATTGCTTGCATGTATGTAAGTGCATTCATGTCGTGCAATGCTCTTGGAGGTCAGAAGAGGGCATCAGATCCCCTGGCACTGGAATTATGGACAGCTGTTAGCTGCCATGTGAGTACTGGGAATCGAACCCTGGTCTTCTGCAAGAGCAGCAGGTGCTCTTAACCACTGAGCCATCTCTCCAGGCCCAGGTTTGTTTAATCTCACATTATATAAAACTTCAAACAGCACACTGGGAAAAATATACAGAAATTTTCAAGCTGACAAACTTTGGCCTGTCGTCGTCATCATCATCATCATCATTATTGTCTTTTTTGAGACAGGGTCTCCCTGTAGCCCCAGGTGGCCTGGAACTCATATGTAGACAAGGTTGGAGGGAACTCACAGAGATCTACCTGCGTTTGCCTCCCAAGTGTTGGGATTAAAGGTGTGTGTGACCATACCTGGCTTGGTCTATAATTTTTAAATTAGACTGTTTTCAAGAAAGTAAAAGGCTGTTCATTATTGAATGTACTTTGAAACAAAGAATATCATAAAAGAAAGAAATCTATACAATAAATAGGAGATTTGACTAAGCCTCTACAAAACTTTCTAATTCTCTGAACCTGATGAACCTCTCTGTGGCCACAGCCTTCCCTTCTACCACTCCATGCCCTACCTTATTCTAAATTCATCTGCTCTCCAATCCTTTAATGATGATTATGATGATTCCATTTACTCCTGTTTATCACCTGTACCTAGTTTTGCTTTCCTCCCTGCATGCTATTTCTGCCACTTTAAACCCTGGTTCACTCATGTCTCTATGCCTCACCTGCTCAGCTAACCTTGAACAAATCTAATCATGCTCAATTTTTTGTTCTGCAAGCAGGCAGAAGAGCAGGAAATCACACAACCTTGTGAGCTACTGTTAGCACACACCAAGGTCCCTAGCTGGGTAGGGACCCTCAATACCACTGAGTGTCTTTAAGGTTCCTCTACAAACCCTCAAACTAATGTGTAAAAGAATTAATTAGGGGCTAGAGAGATGGCTCTGTGGTTAAGAACACTGGCTGCTCTTCCAGAAGACTAGGGTTCAGTTCCCAACATCCACATGCCAGCTAATATCCATCCTTAACTCTAGTTCCTGGGGATCCAACACCCTCTTCTGGCTTCCGCAGGCAGCAAGCACGCACATGGTGCACTTACATACATGCAGGCAATATACTCATACACATAAAATAAAAATAATAAATAAAATATTTTTTCAAAAAAGGAATCAAGTAGGAAAAACTGGGCAGTATGTCGGTGAGATGGCTCAACCAGTAAAGGCTGGTTGACAAGCCTAATGACTTGAGTTCACTCCCCAGAACCCACGTGATAGGAGAGAACCAACTCCCTCAAGTTGTCCTCTGACCTCCACATATGAACTATGGCAGGTGTGTGACTCCACACATGCACAAGTAAAATATAGATAGATAGGTAACTAAATAACTAAAGAAAAAAGAAAAAGCTGGGCATGCTGGCACATGGCTGTAATCCCAGCACTGGGGAGACTGAGGCAGGAAAACTGCTAGGAGTTTGAGTCGGACCTGGACTACATCATGAGTAGTAGGCCAGCCAGGAGATACATAGCAAGACTTTGACCTCCCTCTCACCCCACCAAAAAAATCATCTGAAGAGTTAACTAAAATAAAGGTTTCGACTCAGTAGGTATGGGAGGAAAATGGAGACTGCATTTTATCAGGTTCTCTGGAGATGGTGCCTTTGCTGACTCAGGGAGCACACATGGAGGGCAGAGACTCTTGTCTGCACAACACCCTCACCCGCCAGAGATGACATGGTCTCTTTAAGAAAACTGAAGTAATTAGACCCAAAGTCTTTTTCTTGGTACTTCTTCCCACATCAGACTTATCAGTAACAATACATGCTTTCTTTCCTTCTCAAAGGAGAAAGTTTCATCTTATTTAAAGACAATTTCTCCACTTGTGCATTGAATGCCAACTCCTCTACCTTTTTAGGCACGTTTTTTAAAAAGAAGGGTGGGGCTAGAGAGATGGTTCTGCAATTAAGAATTCTTGCTGCTCTTTCCAGAACCCTTGCGGGGCAGTTCACAACTACCTGTAGTCCAGCTCCAGGAGGATCCAATCCCTCAGTCTCTGTGTACTTATATATGCATATACCCACACACAAACACATAGACATAATTTAAAAAATCTCATGAACACAAGATGTAATATTCGTTACTATTGAAATGTTTCATATGCCTTAGACTAAATAAAGCGTATCACTGAAATTAATTTCATCTATTTCTTTTTACATTTATCTATTTATGTTTCTTGAGAAGGGGGTTTCCCTGTGGCCCCAGTTGGCCTAGAATTTGCTATGTAGACCAGGCTGGGCTCCTAAGTGCTGAGATTAATGTCGTGCACCGTCACATCCAGCTATTTTGAGACACAGACTTTGACTATTTGACCCGGGATATCCTCAAACCCCTGATCGCCCCCGTCTCAGCATCCCAAGTGTTGTTATTATAGGCATGAACCATCACGCCGTTTTTTTTTTTTTCCTTCGTAAACATGACTACTGGAGAATTTACAGTCATGTGTGCACCATCTAGTATATTTCTCTCTATATATACTAAATATGATTGTCTCTACTATCGTTTTTTAAAAAATTATTTCATTTGGAAAGTTGTTTTTTTTTTTGTAAAAGTCCAAGAGAAAAGACGGCATGTGCCTCTGTTACCCACGCCCCGGCCACCGCTCCCTCTTTTTTCTTCCTTTTCTTACTTTCTAGCCAGGGCTGCTGACCTACTAAAACGTCTTCTTAGCTGGTGAACGCAAGCCATACTTTCCAGTCGTTCTGTTCACGACCATTTATCCCCTCTTAAGGGCAGCGTGCAGGGCTGTCCGTGCATCTACCTGGTGCACCGCGGGGCCCACTGCAGGCCTGCAGCAAACCAGCACGCCCACGGCGAACCCCACGCTCGGGCGGCCCCGGGGCTCTGCGCGTCCAGGCCGCCGGCGTCACACCTCTGCATGGCCCAGGCCGCCCTGCGGGTGGCACCTCGGACAACTGCCCGCGGCGAGGACGGCTGGCGGGGGACTAGACACCCGAGCCCTCCTCCGGTCCTCGGGCTGACACAACGCACCACCGCGCGTGCAGTCCCTGGCCTCTCCCGCCGGGCCGGGCGAGGGACTGCGCTGCAGGTCGCTGGAGACCAGGCCCGAAGCAGAGCCCGGCGGGGCCTCTCCTCCCCACGTCCTCCTCCCCGAGGCCCGGAGCGCGCGGACGCTCGCGCATCGCCCTTACCGGAGCGGCGGCCGCCTCCGCCATGGCGCTCCGCTGCCTGGCCCCGGGAGTCGCCGCCGCACGCAAGCCCGCTGCACCGTCCTCTCCTCTGGCCTGCGCCCCACGCTCTGACAGGACTCGCGCTGCAGCCGGCTTCCGGAAGCGCGGTGAGTAGCGGACAACCTCTACCGCACCGGCTGCGGCGACCCCCCAGCTGGCGCTTTCTGGACAGCGAGTGCCGCAGGGGCTGCCGCCTGCCTAGACGCGCCGCCCTCCACTGGTCCGCCGCGGTCAGCGCTCCCCCTAGCGGCCTCTCCCTCCCCAACCCCTCCTGCTGGGTGACCAGAGACTGTGGTCCACCGGGTGGCCTGTTTTCTCAAGGACCCGACAGATGGTAGTTTAAGGTCCAGCCCCACACCAGGGCTTGTTCCAGAGGGTGTATCTCTTCACAGAAGCACAAATGGCAGGCGGCTGACTAACACCCAACTTACTACCAAAGTAGAAATGGATGAAGTGCATGTTGCCTGGGGCACGTAGGAGACTGTGGATAGGAGTGATGAAGATGCGTCATTTGCAGAAACTAAAGCTGGGTGAAGAGGATCACATCCACGTGGCTCGTGTTGGCACCAAATATTAGTGTACTTTGGTTATTGCCTCTCCGGGGTTGTTCAAGAAGTGGAATTTTTAACAATTTTTTAAATTTTTTATTTTGTTTTATGTGTATGAGTGTATTGCCTGCATGTGTGTAAGTGCACCTGTG